AACTTCAGTGGGGGTGAGAGAGGACACTGTCACATAAATAGTGGTCACCCAGCTGGGTCAGAGCCATAGTTACATCCAGATGCATAGGCAAAGACTGGCTGTGAATGAATTCAAACTCTTTCCCGAATCACATGGAATGAAGTTGGTTTTCAGGTCCACATGGTCTGGCCCGTGGAACACGCTCTCTAAGACAGGTTATTGACTATTAAAGTTGGTATGGCCTACCAACTTTAGAGATCACCTTATTCAACCCACGCCATGGAAAGCAAAAGAGTCCTCAGAAGGAGGTCTTCATGAGACTCAAGTATCTTGGTATTGTTGGCACTGAGTGCTGTTAAGTTGGTTCTGATTTCCAGTGACCTCGTGTATCTACAACAGAATGAACTACTACCTGCACCATCCTCACCATTGTTGCTCTTGGTATCTGTCATATAATGTGTTTCCCTCTTTCAGAAGAGCTTTAATAAGTGGTGGTCAGTTCCCCACTCAGTCACTGAGCACTTCCTTTGAGACATGGATATGTCTGTGCTGAGAAACAATGAACAATACTTGCAAACCTTCCATCCAGAGCTCTTCAGATGTGGGTATTCTCCTACTTAGTGAAGGTAGCTTACAAGGGACTCCTCCCAGGGCAATGTGGCACTGTGGTTCAGATGCTCCTGAATGCCCAGGCTCCACCATAAAAAGGAACACCTTATTGGACCTCCTGCCTGGGAGCTGGACTCCTGCCTCTCTCTTGTTGCTTTCCTCTAACCTCTTCCCCTGGAGTCTTGGTATGGCACTATGGGCTAAAGCTCTGGACTGCAAAGTCAGTTTGAACCTCAAGGTCCATGGTTCAAGCTCACCAGTTGCTCCTGGGAAACCCTATACGAGCTCGCTATGGGTCGGAACTGACTTGATGGCACTTAACAGCAACAACCTCTTCCCTGGAGTCCTGGTATGGCACCATAAAATAAGGGTTCAACCTCAAGGTTGGTTTGAACTGCAAGGTCAGTGATTCAAACTCATCAGTCGTTCCTTGGAAACCCTATACAGGGTCGCTATGAGTTGGAACCAGCTCGACAGCACTTAATAACAACCTGTTCCCCAACCAGATTGAATTTTTAAAAACGCAGACTGGATCCTGCCATTCTCCCTGCTTAAACAAACCTTGATATCGCTTAGGATAAAGATCAAAATTCTTAAATGGCTTCGAAAATCCTGAAGAGTTTGCAAAGTAGACCAGGTGACCTCATCACCTCTATCTTTGTGAGCCTTGCCTGCTCTCTGCACCTTTTAAGAAACTGTCACCAGCCATCCCACCTTCCATCCATACAGCCTCAAAACCCTAACCATCGCCGCTGCTAACTCCAGCCTCCAGCCCAACTGACCAAGTCAGCCTTTCTAGCACTTCAGAAGTCCCTAAGAAAGTCTCTCTCCTTCAGGGAGGCTTTCTGCCTGTACAGTCCCCAGGGTCTCTTCCTGCTTCCCACCACTTTCAGTGAAGTACGTCCTGGTGCCTGTCCGGTTTAGCCTGTCTGTGATTCGTCCTAAAGTTTGCTGCCTGTTTGAGATCATTTCATAGAGATTTCTGAGGCAACAGTCGCTGCATGTGTCTGTGTGATTTATGGTGTCAAAAGTCCGTAGCTGGAAAACAATGAAGGCTTTGGATGATGAGAACTCCCTATGAAAAGGAGTCATGTAATGAAGCAGAGGCAACAGATTTCTGTTGGCACAATGGTTAAGCACTCAGCTTCTAAGCAAAAGGTAAGCCGTTTGAACCCAGCAGTCACTGTATGTGTGTGTGGAGGGGTGGGGATAAAAGTGAGGGGTTAAAGACTTGCTCCCATAAAGATTATAGACTTGGAAACCCTAAAGGGAAGTTCTAAAGGATTGATGAATAGAAATTAACATGACAGCACATAAGAGCAACAATGAGGCAACATGGAGCAAACTTGCATTCAGCCATCTGGTTAGGAGCTTAAAGGTCTGTAAAACGAGAAGTTGAGTGAGCTGATGTCACAGGACCCTTCCATCTCTGACCTCCTCTGAGGCTAGGCATTAGCCCTGGGGGGGCCTGTCCTGCCAAGAGGGACTGGAGAAGAAGAGGGAGGAGGAGTGAGTAGGAGGGACAGAGGGAGCTGGAGGAGTCTGCAGTGACCTACATCTGCTCCAGCACTGCCCCTCCACCCTCAGTCTGGTCAGAGCTTCTGGCAGTGAGTGCTAGACGGGAGAGAAGGGAGCAGATAAGAGGCTCGAGACTGCTGTGTATCCAGGTAAGTAGGCTCCACACACCTGTCTGCCCACACAGGGTAGAGTAGCGACAGTCATGGAGACATCAACATGCTTTCTAGCTTTTCTACTCAAGTGGTGGGCATGAGATTGGCATTCCCTAGCTGGCTGATTACCCCCTAGGATGCATATGCATCCCTTCAGAGAACTCCAAGATACCCAGAGGAAAGAATTTCAGTGAGTCCTGTCTGGGTGGTTCTGTCCTGGTCCTTAGTTTCCAAGCACTGCCTGGCTTAACTTAGAATGTTGAATGGTGACCAGAGTGGGGGAAAAAAACCCTCTTTATCTGTTCAGAATAAGGCTGGGACTTGTCTCAACATGGTGAAAGCAACTAAGAGAAGCCCTGTTGGACTCTCGCTACTCACATCATGTTTGGTAAAGTGGAGGGTCAGAGAAAAACAGGAAGACCTCCAGCGAGATGGATTGGCAAAGTGGCAGCATCAGTGGGCTCAAGCATGGCAACAATTGTGAGGTTAGCCCAGGACCGGCCAGTGCTTCATTCTGTTGTGCATAGGGTCGCTATGAATCGGTACTAACTCGATGGCACCTAACAACAATTCAACTCCTACCAGTTCAGATATTGGAGGTAGCAGGAACTTGGAACCACAGGATGAACAGAGAATGGGGGTAGAGGGTGGGAGAGTGGTGGGGCTCTAGAGAGAGATCAAGGGAACACTGCCTGGGGTCCAATGATCAAAGTCCTATTGATAGGCTGAAGTGAGGACCGCAAGCTGCTGTTTGTGCTAAGAAGAATTCTGTTTCTTTTCAACTATGGGAGTTCTTTCTTTCCTCATCCTCTCCAATTGAGACAACATCTCCAGATGTTGTCTCATATTGACCCTGTAGCAAAATGGCCTATTCTGGGAGAGGATAAAAGTCCAGGGGATGGATGAGATGGTTACATATAGGACTTTCCCCAAGTTCCCACAGGGGTTCTGTTTCAGTTTTCAGCAGGGGCCTGCAGGAAGAAGACAGGAAGGAGAGAAGTGGTACTTTTGTTATTCTTCTTATGTGCAACAATAGCTGAGTACCCAACTGGTAGCTCATAGTGGTGGTAATGATAATGATGATGAGGTAGCTATCTATGGCCGAGCTCAAAATACAACAGTGTGGAGACCATGAATAGGTAGCTTCTTTGAGATGACTTGTAAGGAGCTCTGGTAGCATAGTGGTTACGAATCGGGCTGTGAACCGCAATGTCAGCAATTAGAAACTACCAGCAGTTCTGCAGGAGAACAATGAGGCTTTCTGCTCCTGTAAAGATTTACAGCCTCAGAAACCCTGTACAGAGTCGCTATGAGTTGGAATCGACTCCACGGCACATAACAACAACAACATCAGATGGGTTGTACTGGGAAGAGGGTGGGACAGAGGATTCCAAAGCATCAACTCCGACCCTCCCCCCAGCGATGGCTAGCTGGGTCCTCCTCCATTGGTGGCTTCCTCCCTTCCTCACTTTCCCTGTGACTCTGCATCCTAGTGGGTTGTGGCAGTCCTAGGTTGTGGTGCCTGTGACCGCTCCAGAATGCTGTTGACACATCATGGCATTCCAGCACACTGGGGAGCAGCAGCTGGGCTGTAAGAGGATGCCCTGGGACCAGAAATGCCAGGGGTGGGCAGTTGTGAAATGGAAGCGTGTCTGTTGGGGGTGGTGGTTGTGGGGGTGGTTTGGGGTTGGAGGAGGTCTGGGAGAGTCTGGAAAACATTCTTATTTACTTCATGCACTATAGGATAAGTATGGGACTGCTAACCTCAAGGTCAGTGGTTCCAACCCACTAACCGTTCCTCGGAAACCCTATACAGAGTCACTATGAGTCAGAACCAACTTGACAGCACTTAACAACAACAACAAAAACAACAATGATTCACTGGCTTTAGAGTATGTTGTTGTTGTTGTTAAGTGCCGTCGAGTCGGTTCTGACCCATAGCGACCCTGTACAGGGTTTCCGAGGGTGTAAATTTTTACGGGAGTAGAAAGCCTCATCTTTCTCCCGTGGAGCGGCTGGTAGTTTTGAACCGCTGACCTTATGGTTCGCAGCCCGATTCGTAACCACTACGCTTTAGAGTATAGCAGATGGATTTATGAGGATCCCACTGCTCTGGGTTGAGAAGAGCTGGGAATGTCCAAGTCACGCTCCCAGGCTACCGCCACAGACCTGATAATCTGAAGAGCTCCAGATTGGTTGACAGTAGGAAGTAGAAGGCAGCTGGGTCCTGCTAGAAAATCTTTGAGTTGGGGGAGGAGCTAGGAGGCTCAAAGAATGTCCCTGGAGAACTCACATTCCAAAGTTAAGAGGGTGTTAAACAGCTGGAAGGATCCTAAATGCCCAGAGTTTAATTCCGTGAGGTGTGAAAACTTGTGTCTCACCTTCTGAGTATTCCTAGGGCATAAGGTCCTATCAACAAGCCAAACCATAGCTCAGTCCCATGGTTTCCTTTAAGTGGAAAGGGACAAATTGGACAGCACCCTACCCTCTTTCTAGTCCCCGGTGGACTGGCTCTGTTGGAGCACGGTACTGCAGGACACCAACCAGTGTCATCAGTTTGGGTTAGAAGAGAAGACACCTCCTTGGGGGCAGCAGCTCTTTCCAGTTCCCACTCCAGATATTGTTTGATGCACTGATAGGCTGGGGAGGAGGGGTTGGTATTAGACCAGCCAGGACCACTCATAAGCAATTCTATCTTCTATTCTCAGGAGACCAACCTCCACTCTCAGAGGGACTACTGCTATGGCAGGTGAGAAAACTAACTTCTTCCTCCTTCCTCTACTTCCATCCTCAGCCCTATTAATGTTTCTCTCTCAGATGAAGAGGATGGAGGGGCTAAAGATGTCTGGGAGCCCATCTGTCTCTTAGGTTTAGCTTTGGTATTGTGCTTGGATTTGTTTTCCCGAGTTGACAGGGCATAGCCCCTTATGTAGGTTCCTGCTTTCTGAGGAGGAACCTGTTCCAACGTTCCCTTTTGCGACTTGTCCCAGTAACACGCTCAAGTTCTTCCCAAACCTACTCTGCTCACTTTCCAGGGGCTTCAGTCACACTGTCAGAGGATCACCACTCAGATTCCTACTAGAAAAAGATAATTTACTGTACACAAGAGGACCTAAGAGAGATAACTCTGCCCAGCGACAGGCAAAGAAGGGGGTTCTTATTCCTTGGGTGAGCAGGTGGATGCTCCATTCTGCAGACAAGCCCATCTCCCTCTCTCTTGTCTTCCCCAGGGAAGACCCTCAAGAAGTCCTCCCTTCCTGGGGTGAGCATCCGGCAGCTGGTGGAGGAGATTCCTGAAGGATGTAGCACACCTGACTTTGAGCAGAAGCCTGTCCCTTTGGCTCTGCAAGAGGGTGAGGCCGCCTCCCAGCATGCCTAAGGGAAGAGGGCATGGGCACTCACTTTCCTGGATTGGACTCTAGGTCCACCACCTGGCCAAACACTGTCTCCCAGAACCCTCTACACTTGTGGGGTACCTGTCTGCCTGCATCCCCAGAAGGGGCAAAGGGCCCGGGGAGCAGAGTATGAAGAAGTACTATGCTATGTGGATATAAGAAATATATGTGGGAAAGACAAGGGTGGGGAAATGCTTAACTGGGGACAAAGAAGAGGTTCTGGTTTTATGATCTCATCTCTTCTTCCCTTTCTCACCTCAAAGCAGCTGCTACAGAGGGCAGTTAAAGCTAAGTTTAAAATGACCCTTCCAACACTGGCCTTCAGCAAACCAAGCCCCAGTAGCTCTCAGGCTGGGCTACAAAGTCCATTCTAAGAGCCCATAGGAGCAGGATGCCCATGAAAGTGGTGGGGAAAAGGTTGTGGGGGAAGAAGTGCAAAGTGAAATTTTTTCCCCCACCACAACTTCCTATGATGAATTTTAGTCCGCAATATTCTGGAAAAGAAAATGAATGTTAACTTTATTTTCCTAAAACTGACTTCAAGTCCATATTCAACACAATTGTGAACATTAGAAATTTAGTCTCTTCTCATTGGGATGGGTCTTGGGGCCATCAATCATATGCTGTCTTCTGACACACACGTGGTACCTAGAGGACGAGTGGCCCCAGGCTCCCAGGCTAAGCAGTGAGCCTTAGAGTCTCTTCTGGGGCTAGAACATTGCACCTCTGACCACCTTTGGCCACCAAACAGCCTCTAAAGTTGTCATCTCACCCCTAGAGAGTGGACATGGGGCCCATAAAATCTCATATTCTTCCCACCCAGGAAATCTCATTCCCTTTTTGAAATGGCCATTTGAAATACCTAGAGCAGTGATGGTCACTCACTTCCTCCAATCTCTTACTCTTGGGGTCTGCGTCTTACTCTGCCTGCCACAGGGAAAAATGCCATCTTTCGGGCAGTGGTCTGTGGGGATCCCAGACCCGAGGTGCATTGGCAGCGCACCAATGGTGACCTTGGTGACCCCAGCAAATACCAGATCTCTTCTGTCCCTGGCAGCAAGGAACATGTGCTGCAGGTAAGAACCCTGGCTCTTCTCCCTGACCAGGGACTACTCATCTTGTAACATCCTTTGAAATTTTCCTTGGCAGCCTCCAATCCTCAGAATAGCAAGAGATAATCTGAACTGAGGTTGGAATTCACTCAACTCCATCTTGTGGCTCAAGGTTACCTGAACCAGGGCTGGATCTGACAGGCTCACAGGTGCCTCTGTGATAACCTGGGAGGCAATGTAGACTGGAGCCTCAGGACACAAGCTCTGGAGTCAGACTACCTGGGTTACAACCCCAGCTTCACCCGTTAACTGTGTGGTCTTGGCAGGTTACTTACCCCCTGGGTGAGTACCTTGTTTCTTCATCTGTAGAATAGAATAACAACAATTTAAAAAAACAAATAGTTGCAGTCTATATGTATGCAGTGAATATGTATGGACAGGCCGCATGCTCTGCAAGGCTCACTGTCATTGAAGGTGCCTGTCTAGTCCTAGCTTCCTCCCCAGAGAGTCCTCAGAAGACCCAGAGGCAGCCTAATTGGTGCAAGTAGGGAAGGGAGTCCTTCGTTTCATTTACCTGCACACTAAGCCTGCGTGTGATTTTAAAAGCACACACTTGACAAGTGCCCAGTTGCAGAGGCTTCAAATGATTTTCTCTTGGTGCAGTGGAATGAGGTCAGGGCCTGGAAGTTGATTTCTAGTCAACTCCAACTTAGGGTGGCCCCACATGTGTCAGTAGAATTATGCTCCATATGGTTTTTGCTTTGAAAGGTTTTTGTTGTGAGGTTTACAAAGAAAATTTTGCTTTGCCATTCAACAATTCACACATATTTTGTTTAATGACATTGATTGCAATGCTATTAATATAATTTCTTCCTTTGTTTACTGTTGTTGTTAAATACTGTGGAGTCAGTTCCGACTCATAGTGACCCTGCACAGGGTTTCCAAGGCTGTAAATCTTTATGGGAGCAGAATGCCTCATGTTTCACCCATGAAACCACTAGTAGTTTCAAACTGCTGACCTTGAGGTTGGCAGCCTGATTCGTAACCACTACGCTATCAGAGCTCCTTTGTTTACTGTAGCTCCATGGGATTTTCAATGACTGATGTTTTGGAAAGAGATCACCAGGACTTTCTTCTGAGCACTTAATCAATGTTAATGAATTACAATAGTAATATTGTAGTTACCAATGATCATTGAGCATCTACTATGTGCCAAACCTGGGTTAAACATTTGACATAATTTATATGAATTTATTCTGACCATCTTCAACTGTTTTTGTTATTGTTGAGCCTATACACAGCAAAACATACTAATTCACAGCAAAATGTAACCAATTCAACTATTTCTTTCAGGGACAATGATGACATTCTTAGACTTGTGCAGCCATTGTCACCCTCCTTTTCTGAGTTGTCCCTCCTCCCTTAACACAAAGTCACCCACTCACTATTTTTTGAGGTGTGATTTTCCCAATTCTACAAGTGAAGAAACTAAGGTTTAGAGAGGTTAACTAACTAGCCCAAGTCTCACAGACAGGCATACATGACAGAGACGGCATTCAGTGACAGATCCATCAGACTCCCAAATCCAGCTCATTCTACCACACCACACTGCACTGATGGCAAAGAGTTGGTGTAGCCATCCTTGGTCCTGGTTCTGTTTTTTGTCTTGAGGTCCTCTCCAGATGAAGACTAAGTTCCACAAAGACAAGGGCTGTGTATTGTTCATCTTTATACTCCATAGTGAGTGGAGGGCAAAGAGGTGCTAGCCCTGTTCCCTTGTCCTTGCCCTGTCTGCAGATCAACAAGTTGACTGGCGAGGACACAGACCTATACCGCTGCACAGCAGTGAATATGTATGGAGAGGCCGCGTGCTCTGCAAGGCTCACTGTCATTGAAGGTGACTTTCTAGTCCTGGCTTCCTTCCCAGAGAGTCCCCAGAGGCCGCCTAATTGGTGCACACTAGGCCTGCTTGTGATTTTAAAAACACACACTTGACAAATGCTCAGTTGCAGATGCTTCAAATGATTTTCTCTTGGTTCAGTGGAATGAGGTCAGGACCTGGAAGCTGACTTCTAGTCCTGGTGGTAGTGGTGGTGGTTATGTGCCATGGAGTTGGTTCTGACTCATAGCGACCTTCTACTAATTAATTCAAGGGGGTTTGCTTTCCTCTCTGGACTTGAGTTTTTACAAAGTTTGTACAAAGTTTGTACAAAGGATGCTTTCTATGTCAGAGTCCTGGTATGGTACTGTAGGACAAGCACTAGACTGCTAGTCAGTACAAAGTTGGTGGTTCAAACCTACCAGTTGCTCCTTGGAAACCCTTTGCAGTGTTGTTATGAGCCAGAACTGACTCCACAGCACTTAACAACAACAACATGTCAGAGGTGGCAAACAGCTAATCCCACCCAAAACAGTACCCTCCTGTTGATTCCAACTCATAGTGACCCTCCAGACAGAGTAGAACTGTCCACAGGGTTTCAGACACTGCAAGTCTTTATTGGTGCAGACTATCTCATCTTTCTCCCATGGAGTGGCTGGTGGGTTTGAACTGCCGACCTTGCAGTTAGCAGACTATTGCACCACCAGGGCCAAATTCTTCACTCAGACATGTTTTACTTGGTTTATACAGTCTCTTTATGTTTTTTTAATTGATGGTTAATGTGTAAAGATATATGTCTATTGAAAAAACAGCTCTAGTCTCTGCTTTGGTTATTTTTTTGTTTACAAGTAACATAAAACTCTATTAAGAGTACCAAAAATAAGAGACCTTTAACCGCTTCTCATAAAGAGCCCAGGACTTATGACACAGCTCACTGTTGTCACCAAAGAGCCACACTCTTGCTGTCTCATAGCTCTGCCATCCTTAACAATTGGTTTATCACCTCATGGTCAAAAGATAATTGCTGCAGATCCAAATTTAACCTATATTTAAGAAAGGAAGAAGGGGAAAGAGTAGGCTCCAGTTACATTTATTCCTTTTATCAAGAAAGTAAAAGATTTCTCAAGGATGCTTCAGAGACTTCTGCTTGCATTGCATTGGTCAGAGTGGTGCCACATGATCACCTCTAACTGCAAGGGAAGTTGGGAAAGCAAGTGTTATGCTTTTTTAGTCTCTTTAGTAGGCAAAGAAAGGAGCCCTAGTAGTGTAATGGGTCACATGTTGGACTGATGACCAACGGGTCATCAATTCATATCCACTACCCATTCCGAGAGATTAAGATGAGGTTTTCTGCTCCTGTAAAGATTTGTGGCCTTGGAAACCCTATGCAGGGTCACTGTGCGTTGGAACCAAGTCAGTGGCACTCAGCAGTAGTAGGCAAAGAAACAGGGAGTTAGGAATGACTGTAGAATCAGCAGTACCTGATATCTTTGGGCCTACACATTGAAATGACAACTCTCAGTGTAGAGAAACAGCAGCTTCTTCCTTTAGATGTTCTTCAGTTTGTTGTGGTCACCAGTGACCACTTCACTAATTGATGGTACCTCCCTCACCCCTGCATGAGATGACTATCTGGTTAGTTCCACCTGGATTTGCTAAGGCTATGGGTTATCAAAGTTCATGGACAACCCTTGCCCTCTTCCATCCCAATTGCTGGGATATGGCTGCGCCTTGAGGAGAGTGGGGAGGTCAGGGCACTGGTACTCTATCAGTTTCTCTGGAAAAACTTCAATGTATCCTACCTTTCTCTCCTTCTATCTACATCAACTCCCTCTGTTCTGCCCTGGATGGTGTAGTTGGCTTTCGGAAGAATCGGAAGAGGCACCAGGAACCCCCAGAGGGTAGGTGGATTTGTCAGAAATCTTCTTTGGGGAATCTGCTTTGGCCTTTAGGGAATGGTTACTCCTTGCCCATTCTTTGCTCCCCACCTCCCAATCCTGGACCCTGTGGCTCATCACCGGTCCACAGGAGAGCTCCTTTTAAAAGCTCTGTTGTCAGCCTAGGAACACAGGACATCCTTCCTCCATCTCCCTAGCTGCCTTTCTTTAGAAAAGCCCTGCAGAAAGCCCTGGGTATCCCACCTGGGATTGGGGCCTCATTCTTGGTCCTTTTCTAGACCTCAGGAAGGAGCTGATGGACATCCGGAGGATGCTGAAAAAGAGGTGGGTCTGGGTCTATCTATGGAATGTCTGTGGAGTGCTGGTGTGGCACTGTGGGTTAATGCGCTGGACTGCAAAGTGGGTTTGATCTGCAAGGCTAGTGATTCAAACTCACCAGCCACCCTTTGGAAACACTATATGGGATCGCTATGGGTTGCAACCATCTTGATGGCACTAAACAACAACAACAATATAGTATCGATGGAGTCCTGATGTGGCGCTATGGCTTAATGCACTGTACTGCAAAGTCGGTTTGCTCACTCCTCAGAAACACTATACAGGGCACTATGGGTCCGAATCTACTCAACTGCACTTAACAAGAACAACAATAGTATCTGTCCCCCGTCAATTGCACAGAGCTGACTCAGTCCTGGCCATACCCTACCACACATTCAGGGAAGTGAGACTCCAGGTAGCAGGTGGTAGGACAGAAAAAGCACTGATCTAGGAATAGAGGACCCAGCTCTGCCTCTTAATGTAAGGAGTGTGCTGGTTCAGTACAATAAACACTGGACTGCAAACCACGAGGTCCCTGGTTTGAGCCTACCAGCCACTCTGTGGGAGAAAGATGAGACTTTCTGCTTCTATGAAGATTTAAAGCCTCAAAACCCCTGTACAGGGTGACTATGCATTGGGACTGACTTGACAGCACTTAATAACAACAATCCTTGAGCTAATTATCTCTCTAGAGTCCTTGGGAACTGCATTTGTTTAAAGCACTCAGCTGCTAACTGAAAGGTCAGAGGTTCAAGTCCACTCATAGGTACCTCAGAAGACAGACCTGACAATCTACAGAAAAATCAACCAGTGAAAACCTTGTGGAGTGCAGTTCTCTGACACACATGGGATCACCATGAGATGTTCTCAGTTCCAGGCAACTGGATTTTAATAACCTCTCCTCTCTGGGTCCTGATCTAATCAAAAGAGGTATGCTCCATGAGCACAATTTTTCCTCTCAAAATATCTTACTGAGAAATCTATAATGCAAGCTATTGGGAGCAGAGTTTCACCAGTGAAAAACTCGGCCTGTGGACTGAGGCCAGCACCTGCTCATTGGTGGGTCTTTCCTGTCCCCTCCAGTGGTTATTGTTGTTAAGTGCCATTGAGTTTGAGGAGCAGCTAGTGAGTTTGAACCACTGATCTTGTGGTTAGCAGTTCAGTGCTTCTCCTCCAAGTGGTTAGTCACAGAATTTTCCAGTCCCTGTGTCTCTTTGCTCCTTCTAGGAAGGCACTGTTAAGAGCAGCTCCCCAGACTTCCCAGGATGCTAGGACTGGGTGGTCAGGACATATGGTTCCCCTGACCTCTGATCTACCTGCCTTGCTTCCCAGGACCCCACTCCCAGCCCCAGAAAAAAAGGTAGACCTCAAGCAAGTGTGGCAGCTGCTGATGACTGTGGACCGGAAGGACTATGAGCAGATCTGCATGAAGTATGGCATCGTGGACTTCCGAGGCATGCTGCGCAAGCTGCAGGAGATGCGCAAGGAGCGCGATGACAAGATGGCGAAGGTACTCTGCCCTTGCCCCACTCTGTGTGCTCTGGGGCCGCAGACTTGAGTTGAATTTGGAAGTAGGACTTTGGAAACCAAGCGAGATGGAGGAAAGGAGCAGGCAATATCTAGTCCCAAGTTTCATCTCCATGAATGTGGCTTTGCTGCCTCCTCTGGGGCTTTGGAAAAGTTAGGATGGTGGACCTCGTTTTCCTCACTTATAGAACGCGGACAATGGTTGTACCTACCTCATGGGGTTACTGAGAGGATGAATGAGAATGTAAAGCACTAAACCTGGTGGGGCTTCCTGTCCGCTCTCATCATTACTGGATGTCAGTGGTGTTGTTGTTAGGTGCCGTAAAGTTAGTTACCACTTACAGTGACCCCCATGTGACAGAGTAGAACTACCCTATAGGGTTTTCTTTTATTCTTTTAACTTTTTATTGTGAACTGAGTACAGGTTTACAGAGCAGAGCATCAGTTTCACATTCAATATGTTTCAAATTCACTTTCACCTCAAGGTCAACAGTTCAAAACTACCAGCTATTTCGTTTGAGAAAGATGAGGCTTTCTGCTCCAGTAAAGATTTACAGCCTCAGAACTCTATGCAGAGTCACTATAGGTTGGAACCAACTCCACGGCATATCATCACCACCACCCTTAGTCTATTGGGCTAATTGCTTTCAGGAGTCTTCAGTTTTCATAATTCTTCTTTCCTTCAGACAGGTAGAGAGAAATAGTTGCACCAAAAATAGCTGCTCATGAGCTTTTAATATCCCAGTTACTACTCACCAAAGTAGGATGTAGAATAATGTCTTTGTCGATTGTTATGCCAATAGACCATGGTGTCCCCAGACTAAGTGACTTGTTCCCTCAAGATGTTTGGTTATGTCTAAGAAGTTTTCATAACTTTGCCCCCATGTATATCTCACCACATTCATGGCTATATTTACAGCAAAGATAAATACAAATGTAAGTACAATATCCTCTGTCAAACTATACATATTTGTGAGGACCATAGGATTGTCTTGACTGATTTTTACAGGTCTTTCTCAGAACTAATGGGTTCAAACTACCACCCTTTCGGTTAGCAGCCAAGTGCTTAGCTATTGTGTCACCATGGTTCCTTAAATTTGTGTACCTGTCTTATTTCTAAAGCCTTCCAGTGAAGGGAATTTCAGTTTCTATTAGCCCTCCTCTCATTTCAGTATCTTATAAACTGTATAGGGAGTTCTTCCCTGTGTCTAACCTAACTATAAACCAAAACCAAACCAGCTGCCATTGAGTGGATTCTGTTACATGACCAACCCATATGTATCAGAGTAGAACTGTGCTCCATAGGGCTTTCAGTGATGGATTTTTTGGAATTAGATTGCCATAATTTTCTTACAAATGTGTCCTGTATAGGCTCAAATCCCCAATCTTCCCATTATCAGCCCAGTTCCTTAACTGTTTGCATGACCCAGGGACTCCAACCTAAGCTTCAAAATAGCTGACGTTAAGCCCCACTAGGCTAAGTTCTTTATGTACAGCTATTTTTCATTTTCTAGGAATGGAAAACAACTATTTCTCTTTATCTTGAAATATTCTTTTATTAACTCGAAGCGGATTCATTCAATCTCCTATTCATTGCCTAAGCTTTCCTCCACATTGTCTGATCACTTTAACACAGGTCCCAGCTCAGAGCTATGCTTACAGTAACTACTCAATAAATGTTTCTTGGATGAAAGAAAAGTTGGATAGGAAAACCCTAGTATGTTCTCAGAGTACCTGGATACTTGATTTTCTCTCTGACCTGATGTTTGATCTTGGAGGATTTCCATCCTTGTGGAAGGAAATTAAGTCTCCCCACTTGAAAAATATTGGAGTCCTGGTGAGTCTTGGTTAAAGCGCCAGACTGCAAAGCCATTTGAACTGCAAGGTTGGCAGTTCAAGCTCACCAGCTGCTCCTTGGAAACCCTGTACACTGTTGCTATGGGTCAGAATCAACTCGACGGCACAGAACAACAACAACTTGCAAAATGGATACATGAGTATTTAGCTGGGTATTGTGGGACTGTGACTATAAGGGTCTGGAGAATTTTTTGAGGAAAGACTGAAAGAATGCTCTGGTGGACTTTCTTCCCTTTAGTATATCAACACCATCTCCAACTTGAGACACATCAAGGTCACCAAGGATGGACTTGCAGTGTTTAACTTGGAGCTGGATCTCAAGGATTCTGGCAGCAAGATTTACTTGTATAAGGTGAGGTCAGAGGAGCCGTGGAAGGGGGTTCCAGGAAGGGATGCTGGGAGTGGAACTGTGGGTTGATGAGTCCCCCTATAGGAACAAACAGAAAAGACATGTGGAGAACCCAGCATTTAGGGATGGAGTTTAGGGTTGGAATTAAGTCAAAACTGGGGTAACCATTCCAGAGAGACTCCTTACATCTCACTGAGCACACAGACTCTGCAACCAGGCCTGCAGTTATGTGACCTGTCTCACCCAGGGCATGGGGTGATGGGAAGGTAAATAGAGGTGCCGATTAAGTTCACCCCTTACACTACAGCTCCTTATCCAGAGACTTGACACATTTGTTTATGGGTCACAGGAGTAATTACCTGTCAACAGGGCACTTACGTGTTGGTGTGGGGAGGAGCATCAAAACGTGACACTAGTTCTGTAGCCAAACTTACCCTGACTCTACCTTTTACTAGCTATGTGACTTGGACACAGTAATAATCTTCCCTGTGCTCCAATGTCCTCTTTTGTGTTATGAGAATAATGTAGGACCGTCACAGGTACATTGAGGTGATAAATTAGATAATGCATGACTTGCTCCACCACTCATCTGGTGGCTTGTGTGTTTCTGTGATGCTAGAAGCGATGCCACTGATATTGTAAATATCAGCAGGGTTACCCATGGTGGACAAGTTTCAGCTGAGCTTCCGGACTAAGCCAGACTTGGAAGAAGGAAAGACAGACTACTTCTGAATGTTTAACTGCTGAAAATATTATAAATAGCAATGGAACATTATCAGATTTAATACAGGAAAATGAAAACATTATGACTAGCACCAGAAAATTGTCAGATATAGTGCCAGAAGATGAGCCCATCAGGTTGGAAGACACTCAAAATATGACTGGGGAAGAGTTGCCTCCTCAAAGTAGAATTGACCATGATGATGTGAATGGAGTAAAGCTTTAGGTACAGTTATTTTGCTGATGGAGCACAAGTCAAAATGAGGAGAAGCAACTGTAAATATCCATTAATAACTGGTACATGGAATGTACAAAGTTGAACCTAGGAAAACTGAATGTCATCAAGAATGAAATGAAACACATAAAGATCAACATCCTAGGAATTAGTGAGCTGAAATGTACTGGTATTGGCCATTTTGAATCTGATGATCCTATGGTTTACTATGTCAGGAAAGATAAATTGTAGAGGAGTAGCTTTGCTTTATCATCAAAGAGAGCATTTGAAGATCTGTCTTGAAGTACAATCCTGTCTGTGATAGGATAATATCCATACACATACAAGGAAGACCAATTAATACTACTATTATTCAAATTTACACACCAACCACTAAAGCCAGTGATGATGAAATTGAAGAATTCTACCAACTTCTTCAATATGAAATTGATCAATCATTCAATCAAACTGTATTGATAAATCCTGGTAATCGGAACGCAAATGTTGGAAACAAAGAGGAAGGATCATACGGTCTTGATGATAGAAATGATGCTGGTGATCGCATGATAGAATTTTGCAAAACCTGTGATTTATTCAACATAAAAGGCAACTATACACATGGACCTCACCATCAGCTAAAACAAGGCCAGGAGCAGACTGTGAAACAGATGATCAATTATTCAAATGTCTGTTCAGGCTGAAGCTGAAGAAAATTAAAACAAGTCCATGAGACCCAAAATATGATCTTTGACACTCAAGACCATCTCAAGAACAGATTTGACACTAATGACCAAAGACATTTAAGGATGACATTAACGATTTCATACAGAAAGAAAGCAAAAGGTCATTAAAAAAAAAAAAGATAAAAATGGATGTCAGAAGAGACTCTGAAATTTTCTTTGCAGTGTAGAGATGCTAAACACAATGGAAGAGATGAGGAGGTAAAAGAGCTGAACAGAAAATTTCAAAAGGCAGCTCCAGAAGACAAAAATTAAGTATTATAATGAGATGTACAAAGACCTGGATTTAGAAAAACAAAAGAGAAGAACACCCTCAATATTTCTCAAACTTGAAAGAACTGAAGAAAAAAATTCAAGCCTTAACTTGCAATATTGAAGGACTTCATGGGCAAAATATTGAATGATGCAGAAAGCATCAAAAGAGATTTGGAAGTAATACACAAAAAGAAATGGTTGATGTTCAACCATTTCAAGAGGAAGTATATGATTGAGAGCCAACAGTTCTGAAGGAAGAAGTCCAAGATGCACTGAAGGCATTGACAAAGAACAAAGCTCCATCAATTGATGGAATACAAATCGAAATCTTTCAACAAACTGATGCAGCACTCACTCTTCTATGCCAAGAAATTTGGAAGACAGCTGCCTGGCCAACTTATTGGAAGAGATCCATATTTGTGCTCATTCCAAAGAGAGGTGACCCCACAGAATGCAGAAATCATTGAACAATGTCATTAACATCACATGAAAGTAAAATTTTGCTGTTTCATTTTGTTGTACATAGGGTTGCTATGAGTCAGAACTGGCTCAATGGCACATAACAATAACAGCATGATTTATTCTTCCCCTTACCTTCCTGTCCCCCTTCTGCTACTCACTCTGTTTGCTCTAGCTCTTCCTTCTGCCTGGCATGCCCTTCCTGGATTGAGGGACAGAGTTCTGTCCCTCACCCTCAATGAAGCTTCCCCTGACCTCCCTGTTGATACTATCTCATTGCCCCTGCAATAGTGGCTGTACTTGCTGTCTGAGTTTCTGTCTCAACAATCTTAGACATAAGACTTGTCAACTATTTACTCCATGGAGAGAGTGATGAAAACTCCCAGGGCATTTATTCCCTCCACTTCACACTCTATGCTCCCCTGCCCTTCATGCCTCGCCCCTTGCCCTTTTTTGGTTCCAGCACTGGGTTGAGTGATGCCTGGGTCCAATGGGAGAAAACTGTTGCTTATGGTCAGAGTGGGATCAAGACTCTGAACTCTCTTCCTTCTCTGGCCTCAGGATGGTGAGATGATCCCCTTTGGCTTTGACAACCAGACCAAGCACTGTCTGCGGCACCTGGGGAAGCGCTATTACTTCCAGATCCAAGACCTGCGGCCCCAGGATGCTGGCATTTACCAGGTCAGGGTGGAGGATGCCGAAGTCTTCTCCACAGAGCTGGAGGCCAGCGGTGAGTGGTTTTCACTGTGGAAATCAGTGCCATGTTTTATGGGGCATAAATGTGATACGACCCCCATCTCAAGACCAGCAAAGTCTAGTTGGGGAGAGGGATGCACACCCAGATGGCCCAACTATGAGCTCGATCCAATGCCTGTCTCCTCTTGATGCTCTATTGAGTTACAGCTGTGGATATACCGATCTTGCTCCTGCTGTAACTGTAGCACCCAATAATTTTCAGATCAGATCTAAATAAATTTCATAGGTTCAAGCTTTAACCTCACTCCTTTCTGATGCACAATCTTCATCTCCCAGAACTCCCTAGCAAGACTCAGCACCTGAGTTAGGCACATTTGTGCCCTATAGACACCTCTTCCTCCCCTGTCCACCTGGGGGCCTCCAGTTCCTCCCTCCTCAAACTCTGCCCCCTGCTCTGTACTCATGTGTACATGACCCTCCAGTTACTGGGCAGCTTGAGGAACCTCTTGGATGGGTAGGAGAGGCCTGTTTGAAGGAAGGATAGACCACATGGAATAAGGGGCTTCAAAAAGTTCATGGAAAAAGTATCATTATCTTTCAACTCCATTTTTCCGTTAGCTTTTTGAAGCCCATTCATATGGTAGGAGCCCTGGTGGGGTGCTGTAGGATCAGCAGTGGACTGCTAACCAAAGGTCAGCAGTTCAAGTCCACCAGCTGCTCCTCAGAAACCCTATACTAGGTTACTATGAGTTGGAACTGACTCGAGGGCACCTAACAACAACTCATACAATACACGACAAAGCTGAATCAAGGTTGAGGAAGACAGAAGGGGCCTGAGGTCCCTGGGGTGGAGCATTGAATACCCTGAAAATAACCTGGTGTGGGAAAAACAACATGGGCTTTGAAGTCAACCAGACTGGGGTTTGAATCCTGGTTGGACTGCCTCTTAGCTATATGAGATTGAGGCAAATCCTTTCACCTTTCTCAGCTTCAGTTTCCTGTGAAAAGGATACCTACTTCAGAGGTGGTCATGAAATGAATAATTTAAGTTACATGAAGTACTGGTACATAGCATGTTGGTTTTCTTCCTGTACTCACCTTGCTCTTTGCTTTGGGTTTCAAATTATGGAATTCCAGAGCTGAAAATAGCCTACTGCCAATCGCAAACCACAGTCCCTCATTTTATCATAAAAGGAGTCTAAGTGCTCGACTTCTAACTGGTAAGGCCCCTGCTTGAACCCACCAATGGCTCTGAGGGAGAAAGACTTGGCAGTTCACTCCTGTAAAACTTAAAGCCTAAGAAACCCTATGGGCAGTTCTACTCAGCCATGTAGGGTCAGTATGAGTTGGAATAGGAGCTCTGGTGGAGCAGTAGGGTAAGCATTGGACTGCTAATGCCCAGGTTGGCAGACACTCCATAGGAGAAAGATGAGGCTGTCTGCTCTTATGAAGATTTCCAGCCTCAGAATGCCTGTGGGACAGTTCTACTCTGCCCTATGAGGTCTCGCTGAGTCAGAATTGACTTGACTGGGCAATGAGTAGGGTGCTGGGCAATGAGTTGGAATTGACTCAACAGCACACAACCATTTTATCATTAAATAGTTTAATGACTTCAAATCATACTGTATCTGGGGAATTGACACTTGGGGTAAAGAGATGATTGACCCATTCACAGTAAAGAAGGAAGTTTGTGATTGTGCTGGTCTAAACCTGGTGTCAGAATGCCCAGCCCCACTGTGTCAGGCCACACAGTATAGTATTGCCATGTGACTCACCCACTCCTGCTTCCCGGCAGCCATCCCACCAAGGGTAGTGGTCCCACTGGCCGAGGTCCGCTGTGAGCAGCAAGGTGACGCTGTCTTTGAGTGCACGCTCTCCAGTCCCTGCCCCAACGCTGCCTGGCATTTCCAGCATCAGCTGCTCCGATCCAGTGACAGATTTGAAGCATCTGTGTCCCCTGATGGGCTGACCCAACGGCTGGTGGTGAGGGGGGTGCGTTTCTCTGACATGGGCTGCTATTCACTGAGCACTGGGCTCCACGTCTCCAGTGCCTGGCTGGTAGTTGAAGGTGAGTGGCCCATCCCTCTGCTTTTCCCTGCCTCCCCAAAGGCAAGATCTCAGGACAAGGAGGGCATGAAGGCTAGAGGCTTCTTTTGGCCAGGTTTTTTTCCCCATGATTGTATTTATTTATTCAGTAAATATTTATTGATCACTTATTATGCATCAGACACTGTTCAAAGCACAGGGATACATCTGTGAACAGAACAGAAAAATATTTCCTGTCCTTGTGGAGCTTTTATTATAGTGAGCAGGAGACAAACAAGTATCTCATAAACTAAAATAGTGGCTCTCAACCCAGAGCAGTTTTGCCTGTCCCCCACGGGATTTTAGTTACTTGTTTTTTAAAAGAAAATAAAGAATTAAATGTTGTTGTTGTTACTGCTAGAATATACACAGCAAACACACATACTGATTCACGTTTCTACGTGTACAATTCTGTAACAAAGTTATGCCACCTTTTTTGCCCTTCTTTCTGAGTTGTCAGTCACCTGTTTACAATGGTTTTCTCATTCTTGGAGAATGAGGAAGAGGACTCTGTGACTCTGTCCTCAGTCCACTGTTGATGCAAACCCCCTCCTGGCCAGCCCAGCCCTCCTTGGCTGCATCTACTCCGTAGGAGCCCTTGGAATTACTCTGGGGGCACAGGTCCAAGATGGCCCTACGGTCCTTCAGTGTGGATGAACCATCCCACTACCCCTCCCCCACCTCCGGGATTGGGATTTGGTCTCAGGGTAGCCCGAGAACACTGTAAAGTGAGATTTATAAAGCAGCCATTAGAGCAAGTTAAGTTTTTTAAAACCATGCACTTGCTTATAACAGTTTGATAAGCAAATGAATTTTTGACTTCTGTATTTTCTCTTCCATTTTCATACACCAGGTAACAGGGTGAGGTGGCCTTTGGTTACAGGACAGGGGAGGGGGTGATGACATTTATCTGTGCAACAGTCAGCACAACCTGGCTGGCTTCACATGTGATCAGCCTGTTTCTACATTGGGGAAACTCTGGGTCAGGCAAGGCAGTTGCGGTAAGCCAGGTGCCCTGGATGGATATAACAGGGATTTGGGTTCTTTCTTTTGTCTCTCTCTGGGGGCATTGACATCCTATGAAACCTCACCTGATCAAAGCTGGGAAGAATAAAGGCTTTCTGACCACCAGTGAAGACGGCCAGCTGCAGGCACCAGGAGCCCAGGCTTTAGAAGTGGAAGATTCCAGAAAGATCAGTGGAAATGGAGGGAGACATGGAGAGCAGGACCCCATGGAGGGCTCCCTCATGAGACCTGGGCTGGTTTCCAGACTTCAGCTCACAGTTGGCCCAGAAAGCGGTGGTCTTGGTGGACATGGCTACTCCTTGATGGAGGACGAAGAGACAGCTGACTCTGCCTGGGGCTCTGGGCAACTAAGGGAGGCCTTTCCCAAAGAGAAGGGAGGTAGAGTCTCTCTTCTAGGAGAAAATCAGCTCCATAGAGAAGGGGGCTGGGGTGGAAGCTTTCCAGGGATGTCCCATCTACAAGACAAGGGCCCAGATTCAGGGTTAGGTCTCATAGAAGAACAACAACAAGGCCATGGAAGAGACAGTGATGGAGACAGGTGCTGGGAGGCAGCAGGAGGCTGGGACGCTGAGTCCAGGTCTCCTTGGGCTGGAGAGTTGTGGGGCAACTGGGAAGGAAAGGAGCACAGAGAGGGCAGGCAGGGCCAGGAGCAACTCTGGGATGCTCAGGTGGGACCTGGGGTGCGAAGGATGGCCCTCATGGGATCCCAGTTTGATTCTATGGGGGAGGTGATGGAGAAGCTGGTGCAGGAGGGGGATGAGATGGAGGGAAGGGATGACCTGAGCAAGGGAAGGAGGAGAGGAGAAGCAATGGCAGCATGGGGTCATGGTACTGGCCTGGGGGGATCTGGAGACAGCAAGGGGGCAGTAGGTCCTGGATCCCTGAGGTCTCCTGGAGGAAGAGGTTCTAGCTATAGGGCAGGCATGGGTGCTGGGTCCTGTGGCTCTCAGGGAAGCAGAAATGCTAACCATGGGAAAGCAGGGGTCTACCGGGAGTCAGGGGAGTCTCTGGAACAGACATTTGAAGACAAGGATTTCCAGGAACCATCTATATCAGGTGGCAGAAAATTCCCACTAGGGAACAGGAGTCCTGAGACTAAAGCTGTGGGGCCACTGCAGGGGACAGATGAAGGGGGCTCAGGAGAATCTGTGGTTGAGGGAAGAGGCTATAGTACTGGCTCTGGAGGCCCTAGAAGCCTTGGGGACTGGGAAGGGGGGTTGGGTTGTAAGGATGATCAGGAGTCAGCTGCGGCCTTATATGGGACACAGAAAGGCCCCCAAAGCCTCCAGTCTTCCCAGGGCTGGACATCAGATCAGAGAGGAGCAGGGGGCCCTGGAAACATAGCGTCTGATGGCATAGGTCCTTGGGGTAACACATGGTCTAACCTCAGACAAACTGGGACTCGCTGTAGGCCTGGTAGAGGGGAAGCAGGTGGTACCCAGGTGTCTGAGCTAATGGGGACTGGTCAAGGAATGGATGCCAGAAGCTACAGATTAATTGAATCTCCAGGCCTGGGTGCTCAGGAGCCTGGGGAAACACTAGGAGGCACAAATGGACTAAGAGGTCCTGGAGTGATCAGGTCTGAATCAGATTTCGGGAATGGGCTGTGTGGCTCCAGAGGAAAGGGACCCAGAGATGAGATGGGCTGTAAGGATGGCTTAGGGAACCTGAGGGGAATGGAATCTAGTACTGAGAGTGGCTTGGCGTATTCTAGCGGAGTAGCTCCTAAACATGGGACTGGGTATAGCGATGGCTCAGGGGTGCCAGGAGAAACTGGGGTTGGTCAAGGTGATGGTTGTAGTGTTCCCTCTGGAGCACCTGGGGAAACAGAGTCTGAAGAAGGGGGTCATTATAGACAAAGCTTAGGGGTGTCTGGAAACAAATCTGCTTATGATCTGGGGAGAAGGGGAACTGGGAGAATGAACAGTTTCAGGAATGTCTCAGGTAGTACTGGTGTTGGGCCCATGGGTGAAGCAGGTCATTGCGATGCATCCAGAGGCCAGAGGGACATGGGCTCTGGGGATGGTAATCTAGGGAGTCCTGGCACAGTGGGATCTCTGGGTAGAGGTGACCTGAGAACCTCTGACACAGTGGAGGCAGCTGGGGAGGGACATGTAGGAGGAGGGCCAGAGGGTTCTGGAAGAGTAAGGCCTTGGGGCCAGACTGAAGACTGTGGGATCTTCAGGACCTCAGGGGCTCTGGAGTCTTTTGAAGAAAGAGGCTATAAAGATGGCTCTAGGGATCCAAGAGCCATGGAACCAGGGTCTCGGAGGGGAGGGGGCAGCATGGGTGATGGGGGTGCAACCAGGAGCCCTGGTGCCAGGGCATCTGAGCCTGGGACACACGAGACTTTAGCTTCTCATGATGGGGTTGGTTCTGAGACTCTGTGGACATATGGGTCTGGCAATGTGCTAGGCTATGGGGATAGATCAGGGATTGCAGGGCCTCAGGGAACTGGAGGCAAAACAGTTTATGCAGGTGGATTAAGGGGTCTTGGGCCTCAGGCATCAGAGCCAGGGGGTAAGGCAGATCTCAGAGATGGTCCAGGGGGTCTTGGCAGAATGGGGTCAGGGGGTGAGGATAGTTTTAGAGCTGGCTTAGGGGATCTTGGAGGAATGAGTCCAGAGGGTGAGGCTGGTTTAAGAGATGGTTCAGGGTGTCTTGGAGGAATGGGTCCAGAGGGTGAGGCTGGTTCCAAAGATGGTTCCGGGTGTCTTGCAGGAATGGGGTCAGGGGGTGAGGATAGTTTCAGAGCTGTCTCAGGGGGTCTTGGAGGAATGGGGCCTGGGGGTAAGGCCAGTTTCAGAGATGGTTCAGGGGGTCTCAGAGGAATAGGGCCAGGAGGTGAGGCTGGTTTCAGAGATGGTTTAGGGGGTCTTGGAAGATTGGGGCCAAGGAATGAGGCCGGTTTTAGAGATGGTTCATGGGGTCTTGGAGGAATAGAGTCAGGGAGTAAAGCCAGTTTCAGAGATGGCTCAGGGGGTCTCAGAGAAATAGGGCCAGGAGGTGAAGCTGGTTTCAGATATGGTTCAGGGGGTCTTGCAGGAATGGTGTCAGGGGGTGAGGACAGTTTCAGAGCTGGCTTAGGGTGTCTTGGAGGAATAGGGCCAGAGGGTGAGGCTGGCCTCAGAGATAGTTCAGGGGGTCTCAGAGGAATAGGGTCTGGGGGTGCGGCAGATTTCAGAGATGGTTCAGGAATTCTTGGAGGAATGAGGCCAGTGGGAGAGGCAGATTTTAAAGCTGGCTCAGAGGGTCTCAGAAAAATAGGGCCAGGGGGTGAGGCAGGTTTTAGAACTGTCCCAGGGAGTTTTGGAGTAATAGGGCCTGGGGGTGAGGCTAGTCTCAAAGATGGTTCAGGACATCTTAGAGAAATGGGATCAGGGGATGAGGACAATTTCAGAGCTGGCTTAGGGGGTCTTGGAGGAATGGAACCAGAGGGTGAGGCCAGTTTCAGAGATGGTTCAGAGAGTCTTGGGGGAACAGGGTCAGGGGGTGAGGCCAGTTTTAGAGCTGGCTCAGGTGGTCTTGGAGGAATAGGATCAGGGGGTAAGGCAGGTTTTAGAGCTGGCCCAGAGGGTCTCAGAGGAATAGAGTTTGGGGATGAGGCAGGTCTCAAAGATGGTTCAGGAGGTCTCAGAGGAATGGGGCCAGAGGGGGAGGCAGGTTTTGAAGCTGGTTCAGAGGGTCTCAGAAAAATAGGACCAGGGAATGAGGCAGGCTTTAGAGCTGGCCCAGGGGGTCTCAGACGAATAGGGCCTCGGGGTGAGGCTAGTCTCAGAGATGGTTCAGGGAGTATCAGAGGAATGGGACCCGGGGGTGAGGCCAGATTCAGAGATGGTTCAGTGGGTATTGGAGGAATGGGGTCAAAGGGTGAGGACAGTTTTAGAGCTGGCTCAGAGGGTCTTGGAGGAATAGAGCCAGGGGGTAAGGCAGGTTTTAGAGCTGGCCCAGAGGGTCTCAGAGGAATAAGGTCTGGGGATGAGGCAGGTCTCAAAGATGGTTCAGGGTGTCTCAGAGGAATGGGACCAGGGGGTGAGGCTGGTCTCAGAGATGGTTCAGGGGGTCTCAGAGGAATGGGACCAGGGGGTGAGGCAGGTCTCAGAGATGGTTCAGGGGGTCTCGGAGGATTGGGACCAGGGGGTGAGGCCGGTCTCAGAGCTGGCTCAGGGGGTCTTGGAGGAATAGAGCCAGGGGGTAAGGCAGGTTTTAGAGCTGGCCCAGAGGGTCTCAGA